AACACCTAATTTGTCTTTTTTCCCGTTTTGTTTCGTTCGCTCGTTTTTCTTTTTTCCTTCTTACAAAACTAACTAACTCTTTCTCCTCTTATCCGTTTAGTATATGAACAACACGGAACCGACAGTTATCAAAAATTATTGTTTCATCTACTTCAAAGACTGTATTTGTTGTTAAAAAAAAGAATTCAAAAATTTCGAGTGTACTTCTTGTAACAGCAATTACCTCTTCTCCTCCTCCTCCATTTCCCTCTCTTTCCAACCAACATTTCATTTTCCATGCGATTCTTCATCTTACCCTTTCCGTAACCACTTCCACTCTTGCAATTTTGCCTCTTCATTACCCTACCCTTTTTCACTTCTTCGCTATAGTTCGAATTGGCCTTCATTAAATTTTTTCAGCGATACTAATTGTTTCAGCAATTTAATTGCAAAAGAATAAAATCTATCTGCATATACAAAGCATATATAGCTACAAAAAAAACCTTCTGAAACACATTTCTTACGCAATTTTGAAAGACGTCGACAAAAACGAAATAAAAATCTCGAAAACGTAATGATTGCTGATTAGTCTGATAAAACTTTGACAAGTTTGGGCTTGAACACTTTTTTAGTACCTCTTTTATTGAATAAAGCAGTAACAGCAGATAAGCCTCCATCAAAATACGGAAACAAAACCATTAATGTATTATTCCTTTAACAATGGCTTTGAAACGGTTTAATACGACGATAGAAAAAAAATTAAAATTTTGTTCAACTTTCCATTTCACTTTTTTGTATGCACTTATTTCTTTCCAATTTTTTTCAATTCCCTATTCAGAAAACAACTACTTCAGACAACATCGAGATGCTTTCACCGTTTTTTCATTGTAATATTAAGTCAAAGAAAGAATAAATAAAGTAACAAAATAAAGGAAGCGTACAGTTACGCATACTTATGACCAAAAAATTTTAACTTTTTTTTCAAGACTTTAAAAAGACCTAATTTTTACTCCAAATAAACCCACCTTATACTTCCATTAAAGTACCACCTACATACATCTGTACCAAAACAAGAAAAAAAATAAGAAAAACAAGAGAACCTAGTAAATCAAAAAAAAAAAAATTCGCGGTGACTGAAGACAATGATCGCAGCTGTGACCGGAATAGCTGAGATATTCAGATACTATACAATGTTTATATATTTCAGTAAATTGAGTACTATATATCACAAAATTTTTAACTCCCATCCGTCTTGCTTTTTCAACCAGGCACAATTAATAACAGCTTTTGTGTTAATTCGATTACAAGCCTCAAGAAAATTGACAGTTACTAGAACAAAAGACTTCAAAATAAAAAAATTAAGTCTAAAACAAAAAAAAACTGAGAGAACTCGACTTCGTAGACTTGATTTCTTAATCCCCTTCTTCCTGAACCAACTCTCTATGTACAGATGAAGTCAGCCACCATGACTGCAAATAACTGCAGGGTAAACATGAAACACCTATGCTGAACTGAACTGAGGACGGTGAGGGGGGTGAACGGGATGGGAAAGGGAAAATAGAGGAGTGGAATAAACCAATCATCCAAAAGCAACAAACCGATACAGCAGCACCACCACCAATACCAATAAAAAACAACAGCAACAACGAACAAAAACAAAAAAAGAACCAAAAATAGTAAGAATGGCACAGGCTAAAATAAAAATGCTTAAAATGTCAAAAATATTCAGGCGCCAACGTATCTATTCATTCTTTTTCTTTCATTCTCACTTCTTCATCCTCCCCATTTACCCAGTTTCCTGTCTTCAATGTATTTGATGGCTAATCAGTTGAAGCTTACAACCACGGCACCAATTCAAAAGATGCCCTTGTGAGTACACGTTCAAGAAAGAGTGAATTCTTTGATACTAAGCAACCGAGAAAGGAAAAAAAAAACAAAAAAAAAAATACTTCCAGCTTTTTACTCAGCTAAAAAAACTACCATCAAAGATATATAAGCAACAGATTGTTGAATACACCCCCTTTAACAAAAAAAAATAAACAAACAACATTTAACAATAGTAGTGAAGAATTAAATAATACAAAAAAGGAGTCACTTTCAACAGAGGAAAAAACCTAACTAAAATCCCCCCTTAACTTCCTTTTTCATTTCCAATATTTCCTCCTTCTCCTTCCTCTTACGGCTCTTTCCTTACCAGCAACAACAGCAGCAGTGGAAACGTCATCGTCAGCAAAAAAAAAAAAAAAAACATAAGAAAGTCTAAAATAGTATCATCATTGTAACTGTGAGGTCATCAAAGTTCAGCAACTATGTTGTGCTAATAAATCCGATGTCAACAAACAAATAAACAGAAAAATAAACAAACAAACAGAACAACATAACAAAAATAAAACAAGAAAAAAAAGGTATAAAATAAAAAAAATTTAATGTTTAGTTAATAAAGGTGAAGAAAGTAACGAAAAACAAAACAAGACGAAATAAGGTGTGACGACGAAAAAGAAAAATTGAGAAACGAGACACTACTTTCACGACTTAAAGTTGGGTAATAAATGAAAATAACGTACAAAAGTGAACAAGACAGATAAATAAAGAATAATAAATTAATCTTTTTACCTTAAATGCCATAATAGTTACAATTTACGAAAGAGAGAAAAAAAAAGAAACAGACAAGCAATAACCCTTCTTTCCCTTTTTAAATTAATCAACACTGCTTTGATGATAGACTACTCGTATACATCAAATATGTATGCCTACTGATGTATATATTTTTATGTATCTATTTATTTGTGTGTGAGTCTGCTTTTTATGCTTCCCTTTTACGCACTCTCAATAACACAGGTCTATAAATTCAAGCAGTACTAAAGTATAATAAAAATAATAAGCAACTAAGTTTAAAAGAAGCCACTTTAGCAAGAAAAGGTTTCTTTACAACAAGCATAGAACAGAAAAAAAAAAAAAAAA